ACCAAGGAGACATCAGGAGTAAACCAAAATTCTAGGAGCCAGGGAGAGACGAGGAAAGCAGACAGACGATTGACGAGGATCCAGCAAACAGGAACTGAAGAGGAAGGCTTTTAAAGGGGACAGAGACAAAGAGAGGGTTAACAAGGGAATTGAAAACAGGTGAGGGCAGAACAGAAAACAGAGCAAGAGAAAGAGGACACAAGAGGGCAGCAGAGGACAACAAATGGAAAACCAAGAAAAACAGGAACTAACCAAGACTGACAGTAAAGCTGTTCTGTTCGTCATCGGATTGGTGACGTATTTCCGTAAAAAGCAGCTTTATTTGCTCACCACCTCCCTCCACAGCGCTGATGTCACAGTCGTCTGTTAGAAAGTGCTGCTGATTGACTTGACTAGGCTAACTGCATGCAGCGAGGCTAAGGCTTTATTCTGCTTCCCTTGCCTCCTTTTTCAAACGTCAGGATCTGACCCATTTTAGATATATACTATATACATTTTAGATTAATATACTGGTGTGATAACTTAGTATACATTTGATTGGTTGTTGGTATACGTCTATTTTGAAGCTATAGCCCCCCCAGCTAAATTAAGCAAATCTAAAAATCAAAGATGAAATTTAATTAGAGATGGAAGATTCCTAACCCTTTCTAAGGGCGAATACTAACCCCAGGCTCACACCGACTCCGGTCTTACCGTTGCGGTGCGGTGGGTGCGGCGCCGCAGTGATTCCAAGTCATTAAAAAGACGTAAACCTCTCTCACCGGCTGCTGAGCTGTCCGGCTGCGGTTACCGAGACACTCCGGCGCTGCAGAATATTCCGCAAGAAAGCTATCCTTGCGGCGTGCCGGAGCCCTCCGCAACAAGCTCTCGCAAATATCCTTATTTGGGCCGTGTTATCGCGTGAAGTTACGTGAACTCAAGTGAACTTCTGTTAAATCTCCGGACCTGTTGCCGGAGCCGCAGAGCCGCACCGCACCGTAGTCAAAAGGGCGGTGTGAGAGGGGGTGTGCAGGAGTTGCGGTCTCCGTCGGCTCGGTAACCGCACCGGAGCCAGTGTGAGCAAGGGGTAAGGTTTCTAGGTTTGGATCGTTTTGGGGAGCAGACAGACTTCCACCACAGATTAAATGAATGCCGTTTACTCTGAGGTCCCGGAGGGATTCATTCGATCGAGTTTCTTCTTTTGAATGGTACTGCTCTTATGTCCAGAGCTGAGACACAACAGTACAGCTCACCATTTGCACAGCTCTCCCAGGTGCATGAGTTGAGATTTAGTCCTTCTGACTCAACAGAATGATTTAGCATTTCATGATTTAGGCAGGTTGGATCAACCTCTCTAGTACTATTAGGCAGTTATCCCTGACAAGTTCAGTCACTGCAGTACTCTGAAGACATTGAGAAATCCCTGCCGCAAATTGGAGAGACCAACAGACTTTGGCAATGGGCATAATCTTACTGGTGTAACGTACAGGAAATTGGACCCAGGAAACAACGCAGACAGGTCAGTGGAATATAACGGATTTTATTTATGACTGTGTGGCACAGGGAGTGCGCAGGCGGCTCTTAGTCAGGAAATCCCCTGTGGCGGAGACAACAGGTTAGTGATCAGCAATAGGAAAACTAGAGAGGGAGTGAGGCTGGATCACTAACCTGTTACTGGGTCTCAGAGTGGGCGATTGGCTCCGTGTTGGGTCCGGGGCAGGAGTCCGTACGATGAAGGGGCTTGTGGAAGCGGTGGCCGTTCAGCGGGGGATGGTTTGCTGAGGACTGAGGCCGATGAGCTCCAGAGACAGTCCGTTTACTGATTCCAAGCAAAGGTACAGAGGGGCAATCCAGAAGAGAGGTCCAGGTGCGATCCAGGGTCCGTTAGCTGGCAGGTTAGGAGAAGCAGAGGGGTTAGGCAGACTCGGTTACTCACTGACTGAGTGGGTTTCAGGTTCACAGGCAGGCAATCCAAGGCAGAACTGATGCAGGGATCCAGAGGCAGATCTGGTTTGGATTCAGGGCAGGCAGACAGAATCAGATAGGGGATCAGGCAGGCAACAGGTAGGCAGGCAAAAGATTGAAATGCTGGAAGGTACTCAACGGTTGGTTTGAGACTATCTGGCACTGGGAACAGATCCAAATGAGGAATATATAGAGGTGTAACCAATTAGTGATAATAGCAGGCAAGGTGTGTCGAGTTGGGGATTAAGCCAGCACCAGTGCCAAGATCGTCACAACTGGTTAAGAGAGACATTTATAATAGTAATACACAAGTATTAAAGTTGTTGCTGATAATCTCAAAGAAGGACGATTCTCTTGCATTTTTCAGTTGTGAGTTATATCTGCGGTCTCTCTTTATAGGTGTTAGTGTGAACCCAGAATCCAGGCTTTTGCAATCTTTGCTCAACTTTCGCATCCTTCTTTTTTCAATTCGGACTGCGGCATTTCCATGGAGCACTTCTCCACTGAGACATTTTCTTCCCAGAAGGAACCCTTGGGGCAACTGAATCAGCAATATGTGTGATTTTAAAGTGAAATGATCTACCAGCTCATCAGCAGAGTTAGAGAACGGCTGGAGGTTCAGTAAAGGAGTAAATCTGGTTAAAGGTTTCTTTGAGTTTCCTTAAGACATCATTTTGGCCAAAATCAAACTTGTAGAAATAACAGAAACATTGTCAGATGAATGATCAAGTCCAAAATACGTCCCTGTGAGCGTTTACTGTCAACATGTCGGGTTAAACCAAAGTTTCTAAGAGTATCACATTGTTCTATCGTACTTCTTATCACAGATAAAAGGTCAATAAATTCACTTATAATGTTTGTTTTGGTTTTAGGAGGCCTGCAAATATTCAAGATCATCGTTTGCTTACCTGAAGTGACAAATTCTCACGAGTCAAATTTGCCAAGAAATACCGTTTTACTCTTCGATAATTATTTAAACAAGGCTGCCATGCCCCAAACTTTCATTAACTGACGGCTTTAATTAAAAAAATGAAATAAAATAGTTTGTAGACATTAACTCTATGAGAATAGGAGCCACGTTAAATGTAGGTTTTCATGTTTTTGGTAATAATTGATAAAAAGAATTTTACTCTCAGAGAAACGTCCGTCCATCCATCCATCCATCCATCCATCCAACCATCCATCCATCCATCCATCCATCCAACCATCCGTCCATCCATCCATCCATCCATCATCCATCCATCCAACCATCCGTCTATCCATCCATCCATCCAACCATCCAACCATCCATCCATCCATCCAACCATCCGTCTATCCATCCATCCATCATCCATCCATCCAACCATCATCCATCCATCCATCCAACCATCCGTCTATCCATCAATCCATCATCCATCCATCCAACCATCCATCCATCCATCCATCCAACCATCATCCATCCAACCATCCATCCATCCATCCATCCAACCATCATCCATCCAACCATCCATCCATCCATCCATCATCCATCCATCCATCCAACCATCCATCCATCCAACCATCCATCCATCCATCCATCCAACCATCCGTCTATCCATCCATCCATCATCCATCCAACCATGCATCCATCCATCCAACCATCCATCCATCCAACCATCATCCATCCATCCATCCATCCAACCATCCAACCATCCATCCATCCATCCATCCAACCATCCGTCTATCCATCCATCATCCATCCATCCATCCATCCAACCATCATCCATCCATCCAACCATCATCCATCCATCCAACCATCCATCCAACCATCCATCCATCCATCCATCCATCCATCCAACCATCATCCATCCATCCAACCATCCATCCATCCATCCAACCATCATCCATCCATCCAACCATCCATCCATCCATCCATCCAACCATCCGTCTATCCATCCATCCATCATCCATCTATCCATCCATCCAACCATCATCCATCCATCATCCATCCATCCATCCAACCATCATCCATCCATCCATCCATCCATCCATCCAACCATCCGTCCATCCATCCATCCATCATCCATCCATCCATCCAACCATCCATCCATCCAACCATCCATCCATCCATCCATCATCCATCCATCCAACCATCCATCCATCCATCCAACCATCCATCCATCCATCCATCCAACCATCATCCATCCATCCAACCATCCATCCATCCATCCATCCAACCATCCGTCTATCCATCCATCCATCCATCATCCATCTATCCATCCATCCAACCATCATCCATCCATCATCCATCCATCCATCCATCCATCCAACCATCCATCCATCCATCCATCCATCCAACCATCCGTCTATCCATCCATCCATCCATCCATCATCCATCCATCCATCATCCATCCATCCATCCAACCATCATCCATCCATCCAACCGTCCATCCATCCATCCGTTTATCCATCATCCATCCATCCATCCATCCATCCATCCATCCAGTAAACCCAGTTTGTATGACTTGGTGGCTGATATTGACTCTGTGTCTTGTACGGTACAGATTACCGGTTTCTGGCTGATTACTGATGATGGGGGACATCAGGATCACAACAGATTTTCTTAATGGTGTTTTCCAGCTGTGTGCTAACTTTTGAATTCTCTTCCTTTGGTTCAGAAATTATTACTTCAGTTTTCTTTTGATTCGGCTGAAAAAATATTTTCCGCATTCATTTCTTTTATGCATTTACTAAGCTCTTGAATCAGAATCAACAAACCCACATTAAAAACTTAGTGCTGTTTGAAAGTTCCACTTGTTTCCACTTGAATATAACCTTTGATAGGTCCTCTACTAAACATGCTTGGCAAGACAGGAAACAGTAGAACAGCACCTTTTTAATGACTTTTAGTCTGGTCAAATTTGGCAAAAACTAGACTGAATAAAGGGGGTCTTAATCAGAAGTACGTATGGTTTGACGTCGCTAAAATGGATGCATATGTAACTTCATCACAGTTAATTCAATCCCTTTAATTTTTTTACCAAATAGGAGACATCTGAAGTGTATTTATCTTCTTTTTTTTGCCGTTTGTTCATCAGAGGCATCTCCCAGTCCCGTAAAGAACTCCCCAGAAATGTCTCCAATGATGTCGCCTCGACAGCGCCGTGACTCAGACCGTTACTGCCAGCTATGCAACGCTTGGTTCAACAACCCCGGCATGGCTCAGCAGCATTATGATGGAAAGAAGCACAAGAAGAACGCCACCAGAGCAGACCTGCTGGAACAGCTGGGTCAGACCTTCGACATGGGAGAAATGAAAGGTGTGTTCCTCAGAACGATGCAACTAGACTGAACTTATTTACCTTAACCGCCTCCGATGCTAACTAATGCTACTATGTTTATGTTTGCTGAGTTGCAATTTACTCTGATTTAGATGCAGATGCTTTTGAACAAATGCAGAGTCATCAATACAGCAATACTCACAATTCAATCATCACTCAATCTATTCCACAGAAGCTTTAAAGGAAAAGTTAATTTTCATGTGAATGTGCTCTACTGGAGGCATCCATGTTTGTCAAAGAACACTACTGCCACCTACTGGTTAGTGACGTCACGGTGCGGTATCGGCTGTTGATCAAGTCCCAGTGCTGTATCAGGTGTTTGTCATCAACGCGCTATTATCCAAGTCATCTTGAAAACATTCTTCATTTTTTCATGCTGCTTTTATTTTAATCAAATGATAGAATTAAATAAAAATTCCCTGAGGCCTCCTTACTGCCCCCTGGTGTCTCTATATGACTGATAAAAAGGAAACAGCTGAGTAAATCCGTCAGGGAGGGGAAGAGTTTTTTGCTGCCAAAGCATTTGTCATCTTTGCATTTTTGTTTGCAAGTTTTTCTCAACTAGATTTTAGATTTATACAGTAGTAGCCATTCAATATTTCCCCACTTCCTTGAAGGGTCCTTGGCTGGTCCTTGGATGGTCCTTGGCTGGTCCTTGGATGGTCCTTGGATGGTCCTTGGCTGGTCCTTGGATGGTCCTTGGATGGTCCTTGGCTGGTCCTTGGCTGGTCCTTGGATGGTCCTTGGCTGGTCCTTGGATGGTCCTTGGATGGTCCTTGGATGGTCCTTGGATGGTCCTTGGCTGGTCCTTGGATGGTCCTTGGATGGTCCTTGGCTGGTCCTTGGATGGTCCTTGGATGGTCCTTGGATGGTCCTTGGATGGCCCTTGGCTGGTCATTGGCTGGCCCTTTGCTGGTCCTTGGATGGTCCTTGGCTGGCCCTTGGATGGTCCTTGGCTGGCCCTTGGATGGTCCTTGGCTGGTCATTGGCTGGTCCTTGGCTGGTCCTTGGCTGGTCCTTAGATGGTCCTTGGCTGGTCCTTGGATGGTCATTGGATGGTCCTTGGCTGGTCCTTAGATGGTCCTTGGCTGGTCCTTGGCTGGTCCTTGGATGGTCCTTGGCTGGCCCTTGGCTGGTCCTTGGGTGGCCCTTGGATGGTCCTTGGCTGGCCCTTGGATGGTCCTTAGATGGTCCTTGGCTGGTCCTTGGATGGTCCTTGGATGGTCCTTAGATGGTCCTTGGATGGTCCTTAGATGGTCCTTGGCTGGTCCTTGGCTGGCCCTTGGCTGGTCATTGGCTGGCCCTTTGCTGGTCCTTGGATGGTCCTTGGATGGTCCTTAGATGGTCCTTGGATGGTCCTTGGATGGTCCTTGGATGGTCCTTGGCTGGTCCTGGCTGGTCCTTGGATGGTCCTTGGCTGGCCCTTGGCTGGTCCTTGGGTGGCCCTTGGATGGTCCTTGGCTGGCCCTTGGATGGTCCTTAGATGGTCCTTGGCTGGTCCTTGGATGGTCCTTGGATGGTCCTTAGATGGTCCTTGGCTGGTCCTTGGATGGTCCTTAGATGGTCCTTGGCTGGTCCTTGGCTGGCCCTTGGCTGGTCATTGGCTGGCCCTTTGCTGGTCCTTGGATGGTCCTTGGCTGGCCCTTGGATGGTCCTTGGCTGGCCCTTGGATGGTCCTTGGCTGGTCCTTAGATGGTCCTTGGCTGGTCCTTGGATGGTCATTGGATGGTCCTTGGCTGGCCCTTGGATGGTCCTTGGCTGGTCCTTGGCTGGTCCTTGGCTGGTCCTTGGATGGTAACCTACGGTTCAAATTTCAATCTCTGTACTAAAATATTCTGTCCTGATTTATGGACATTAGGATCTAAACAGAAGCGCCACCTCCTGGTCAGACCCTGTAATTCAGTGAAAGGGTCACAGTAAAAACATATGGGAGAGGGGGTCACTGCAGCGGCTGGAAGTTGGAGGGATTTTGTTGGTAGTTGGAGGGAAGTGGGCTGCCATTCAGCTGGGAAGGCCATTTCTGTAGTTCATCTGAACTTTCCTACCCTTCTACTTTGTTTAGTAAGAAAAAAAACTTTAAAAAAGTATGTTTGAATTAAATGTAGGTGTTTTGTGTGTTTGTGTTTGCTCAACTTATTTTAATGGCTGTTTTGTATTGATGGGAACCTAAAACTGTTTCATCTGTAATGCAGATCCTGCAGTTTATCACAGTCGATTCATGAAATATCTTCCTGCATGTCATTAATGAAACTTCTAATCAGACACATGAGGCATTGTGGCTCATCAGGTCGGCTCTCCAGCTGGGAGTAATACATTAGCATCAAATCATTTCCTTCAGGATGTGTGATTAATAAGGCGCCCCATAAAGCCAGAGGGCTTCAGATTACTGTTTTCTACTACGGCTGTCAGACTGATTGCTGTTGCTTCCACCAGCATAACAAGCTGTTGACGTTTTACAAGAATGGAAGACATTTGCCTGTCTACCAGTCACAGGATGTCAATACGAGCTCCAAGTATTGGGTAAACTGGTGCAGAGCTGGCTGGAAGAAGAGGAGCAGTTAGTTAGTTAGCCATTATTGTCCTGCAGGATATCTTATATTAATTTTTGTTCTTTTCTTCCAGTGCGTGACTTGAGTAATATCTTTTTTTAGTCTCTTGCTGTTTAGCCACCTATCGTTTCTTCTTAAACTCTAATTTTTTCCCCCGTGTCTGATGTTTAGCTTTAGCAGCAGTTTTTGATGCAGAAATTCATTTTTATATTAATTAAAATTTTAAAGGAGAAGTTCCGTCAGCAAGAAATAATCAATGGATCATTATTTTTACCTAAAACTGATTTAATGAATTTAGCGTCAATCAGCAAAAAAATAAAAATAATTTTTGTTGCGATCACTGAGTCTGGGAGCGGCCATTTTTGCCCAAATCTAGTAGCCCCTCCCTCCTGCCATCTTCCAGCAGTGACGTCACGGTGCGGTAAGCCTAGCGCCATTCTCCCCGCTTTACAAGCTAAATCAATGGGAACTACTAGACACATCTGCAATCAACAACAATTATTGAAGATTTCCAGAGGACTTCACCATTGAAATTCACCAGAGCTATAGTGAAACTGACAATGCCCACGTGCATGGCAGCTGGATGCTGGAATACATCGGGTAAAAGTGAAAAGAAAGAGTTATTTCACCTTTCTGATTCCTGATCCTCCACGGACGGGTTGGTCGTTGGATCGCCAACTTGAAGAGGGAGGATTTGCCATCGAACTTCTGGCCAGAGAAAAAACCCGTAATATGTAGCCAACATTTGGAAGAAGAATGTTTTCAAGATGACTTGGATAATAGCGCGTTGTGACAAACACCAGATACAGCACTGGGACTTGATCAACAGCCGATACCGCACCGTGACGTCACTAACCAGTAGGTGGCAGTAGTGTTCTTTGACAAACATGGATGCCTCCAGTAAAGCACATTCACATGGAAATTACTCTGAATTAAAAACACTGATCATTTATTGAACAGGATCACTGCAAAAAAAGTTATTTACATAAGTAATTTTTTCTTAAAGCTGCTGTCTGTAAGATTTTAAAAATCACTTTTTTGTCATATTGGCTAAAACTGTCCCTATGCCCAGACAGCAGTACATGTGATATGTAACCTCTGAAAAAACTGCTTCAATTGGTCCCGCCTACTGCCTGTTTTTCAATCTGGAAAGAATATTTCTGGACGAGACAAAACAACCAATCACAGCCAGAGGAGCGTCTGATGGAGTGTCAATCACAGCTCACACACGCTGAATCCCGCCCCCTCCCTCTCACCGCTGAACCTGCCGCTGCCGCCCGGCTGCCGCAGTCAGCAATTGAGTAATAAATTTGTAACTTCGGTATAACCAGCATCTTATATCTAGCTGCTTGGAGGTGAGTGTTATCGCTCTTACCGGTTCACCGCGTACGCTGCTTGGACGCTTCTGGTCGCATGCGGTAGCCGCGCAGGTGCTGTGAGAGGGGTGGAGCTTGGAGGTGGGGCATGAGTGAAGCAGAGAGGGTGGGGGAGTGGCGTGAAACCTGTTTTTCTTCAAATTTTCAGTGGAAGTCTGCTCTCTTCTCAATGTTACAGACTGCAGCTTTAAAATAATTGCATTTTTTTCTTGAATTGAGGAGGTAAATGAGACATTTCGCCAATGGCACGAGACAATTTACATTTAAAATAAGAAAAAAACAATTGCGTTGTTTTTTTTCCAGTGAATATTATCTACTTATCTTATACTAAGAATGAAAATACTCATCCCATTGGCAAACTATCTCATTTACCTGCTCAAAATAAGGGTAAATGCACTTAATTTAATACATTTTTACTTATTTCTAGATGATTTTTCCAGTGATGGAATAATTTCATATTCAAAGTACTTTCAGAAGTATTTTCGCCAAAGTCCTGAATCGATTCAATTTTGATTCAATCTAGTTTTACAATAATGAAAGCGGTTCAACTGTGTTTCAAAATACTCATGTATTTTGTTTTTTCCTGTCTTATTGAACACAATGTGCAAACTTGTAAATCAGAAAATTTAAACATGAGATGTGAACAAAACTGTCTAAAAAGTGCAAACTCGTTTGTGAAAAGTGAAAAAGTGAATCCTCACACGAGCAAGCAGACATGCATGAGCTGCATTATCTTCGCTGCACAAACCTGTAGTATCAACTACAGGGTGTTTCTTATTGCTCAGCCCCCAGTCGTTAATGTCTTCAGTCAACCTATTGGCTATTTGCAGCTGTCTGAAATAATCTTGATTGCATCTTTCCTGCTTATTTGAATGTGAATGTAACATGGGTCACTATAAAATAAATCGATCTCATTCCCTAGACATCGATCTTGCAGAAATGTTAAGGAATCGATTCAAATTCGATTAAATCTATTTTTTTTTTACCCAGCCCTATTCAGAAGTTTAAATTCTGTATGTGAGCTGACTTTTCCTTTAAATTTGCAGAAAAAAAT